GACCTGCTGGTAGGCGTCGAACTGGCGAGAGGGCATGCGGTGCAGGGTGCCAGAGTGGGGCTGGTTCCGTTGGGCAATGGGCGAGCGCGACGTCGACTGGTCGTACGCCGACGAGTACATTATATGTGTGCGGCGAGGGAGGGCCGGGGCGGTGTTTGGGTGCAGAGCAAGAAAATTAACAGCGGAGGTAAGAGTAGCACGTGGTCCAAGCTCGTAATGTCGTGAAATGAGCGGAAGGCGGCCGTCGCAAACAGGTCAGGTCGGATCGGAGGAGAAAAGGGGTCGGCGTGAGCTCGAGCTTGCGTGGTCGAGGTTGGCTGGCGATGGTAATAATCAGGGATGCCTGGCGGACCCAGCGCAGTCGTCCCCTTTCGAGCCGCACTTTTCGGTGGGACGCGAACAACAGGCTAGCAGACGTCAGAGGGCTTCAATATCGCTAACACGCGACCGGGTGGATGCGTAGCTGGCTGGATGCGACGACGATGCCCGCCGCTTGGAAGCAAAAGTTGTCCTGACACCCACTAACGGCGCGGGGAGACGGCTGCACACGTGCCCGCGACGACAGAGGGCAGCTGTTTCAATAGTCTCGCACGCAGCGAACGGCTGGCCAGGTCAGGAGTCAGCGACTTATCCATCTTGATTGGCTGACGTCCATCGTAAACCATCTCCCGCTGCACTCTGCCTAGGTCGTGTTTGGTATTAAGTTGTGTATACGGCTTGTTCCTCCCGCCGTCTGAGGCCGCTACCTCTTCGCCGCCCTCTACCATGACATCTCTCTTAAAATACCCTCGTCCGCACAGATGCCCTGGCCAGAGCCCAACACCCCCCATTACTCATGCCCACCATGTCTGCCCACGCGCCACATCACCGCCCTCCCTGGACGGGCCAGCCTCACAAAAGGGCGACAGAGGGATGGCCCGGCGTTCTGGAAGTCGCCAGGTGGCGGGCCGTAGCGTTAGCTCCCTGCCAATAACGTGGAACAACACCAACTCTGCTTTTCCCTTCCATCAACGCCTGCCAGAAGTGTCTGCTGTCAACGGCGTCGAGACAGGCCAAATCTGCCCCGTCGTGAACTCGAGGGACCTGCTCCTTTGGCCAGAATCCTCCGAGACGCTCGGGGTGCATGATGAGCACACGCGACGTCGTCAGCTGCACCCTGCCACCGGTAATCTCCCCTGGTACGGTTCATCGTGCTGCACCCCAGATGTGCAACTGGAATAAGGCTGCATATTCACTGCCATCGCTTGACACTGCTTGTTCATATTCTATTGTGGTCTACACATAACTCTGTATAATCTTCGTCCACGCTGCGCAGTCCACGCCGCACAGCACACTCACTCATCTCATTTGACAGACCATGTGAAAGCTAGGCATATACTCGGCCATGGAAGACGATCAGGGACGGCTTCCCGCTTTTATCAAGTTTCCGACTGGCTGAGCACAGCAGATGTGGTTTGTAGGATCGCTTAGCCTGCATGCATAGCTGATCATGTGAATCCGGCCACTGGGCCGAACACCACTCTCGGGCGCGACGTGTCGCCATCATCCCTTTTCTGTGGACTGCTTACGCGACAGACATCGTGGCTGTGCTTACATCAATTGCATACCCCTTCAGTCCTCAAAGTCGAGCAGCCGCGAGAATTCAGTCTCGCCGACGCGTCGGAATTCGGCTCCCGCTGCAAACTGCCCACTTGCTTCCCACGCTTGCATGGTCGCCTGGTCGTATGGCCCATTAATATCACCTTCTGGTGCGTTGAGCCAGTGGAATTCCCACTGCACTGTCTCCGGGTTCGGGTTCTTCCAGTCCTCTCCAGTCTCACGCTTGTACTGCCGCATGATGGATTCGCGGGGGAGTTCGTAAATATCCTCGACGCCGCGATCAGACAGCCGACTGGCGCATTCGGTTATAGAATCAATCACCTCCTTTGCCTGGGTCGCCGCAGCATCCTGCGATGGATCTGAATCGACCTCCATAGCCTGGCTCTTCTTCTTCTTGGCCCAGTTCTTGGCTGGCTTCTTCGGTGCTGCCTTGCCGTATCGCACGAGAGCCTCCATGGGCGTCTCGCCAACGTCCAGGTGCGTGATGAGGGTCGATAGAACGTCGCTGGTCACGATGGAGTCTTCGGCTCGTTCTCGTGCCTTTCGCTCGGCATCCAGCTTGTCTTGCGCCTCCTTTGCCTTTTTGATGTCCTTCTTAGATATGCCATCCAACCACGAGTCCTGCGCAGCTTCGGGGTCAAAGGCCTTGCGCACGAAGTTTCCGGCTTCGTCAAAACGACCTTCTTCCTGCTCGGCGCTCATGTTGAAAGCATCCAGCTTAGGCGCATGCTTCTTCTTTCCACCTGCACCTATCTCCTCGTCGACGTCGGAGGGAACGTGGTCGCGCAACTCGTCATCTCCCTCATCGCTACTGCTCTCCACTTCTTCTGTTCTGCTCTTCGGGCCCTTGGTGAAGTCGACGGCTACGTGACCCCCAGACTTGCTGTTCGCTTCCTGGCCTTCGATCTCGGCATCGTCCAGGAAGCGCAACTTCTTCTTCTTGGTCTGATCTCTCCGCGATCCCTCGTCCATGTCGTCGTCCTTGTCATCCTCGGCGAACATGTCGTCGTCATCGTCCTCGGTTTTGGGCGGCTCGTCCTTGTTGGGTCGGGCTTCTGCGCGCGCCTCGAAGTTCTCCGTGGAGCTGTCTGAGTCGTAGCCGTCGATGTTGACTGCGTTCCGCTTGATGCCTGCGCTTTTTCCTATCACGTCAGCCTCGAGAGCAGGATCTTCTTCATCCTCTGCATCCGGAGCCAGTGTGGAGGGGTTGCGCGGGTCGAAGCGGGGTTTCTTGGTGGAATGTTCGTCGGCGTCCATGTGGTGGGTTCGCGTGAATTGCTCGCCAGCGCGCTTCGGTCGCGCGGGATTGTAGGTTCCACTAGAGCTGGCCATGACGATTAGCAACGTTGCGCGGTCTTGCGGCGTCGAGGTTTGGCGATATGTGAATCCAGGCGGCCAGGCAGTGACGTCGGACGCGATTAATTTGAAGCTTGGGCCATGACGCGCTAATCGGAGTTTAGCGGACTTCCTACTGGCTCAAACGGCCCGCTGTACTGCTACCAACCACGGTCGTCATCTCAGGCCTCTCTCATCGAAGACATATCACTTCCACCACCTGCCCGCCGTTACCTAACAATTCCTGACCCATTCACTGCCCTCTAAAAGTTCCTCTGACTCACTGATTCCGCACACTTAAAATGGTAAGAGCGACCCCACCACCTTCTTTGTCCTACACTCACCACTACAGTTCAACCCCAACTTTTACGACCAAGACGATCCCATGGCCATGTACCAGTCCCTCGCCGCACGTCGCGGCGGCGCTCCTCGACGCTTCGATGAGTACTTTCGATGCTATCCCATCGTCATGTTGCCTGGCCCGGAGCGCCACGAGGCAAACCACGGCGGCAAAGTGTTCCTCCCTCCGAGTGCTCTCGACAAGCTCACCAGGCTGCACATCACATACCCCATGCTCTTCGAGCTCATAAACGGCAAGGCGGACGGAAAGAAGACGCACGCAGGTGTGCTGGAATTCATCGCAGAGGAGGGCAAGATCTACCTGCCATACTGGCTTATGGAGACACTCCAGTTGGAGCCCGGTGACCTGCTACAAGTCAAGTCGACCGACATCCCTCTCGGCACCTTCATCAAGCTACAACCGCAAGACTCCTCCTTCCTCGAAATCTCCGATCCCAAGGCCGTACTCGAAAACGCCTTCCGCAACTTCTCATGCCTTACGGTCGGCGACATATTCACCTTTTCATACAACGACAATGTGTATAGCATAGCAGTGTTGGAGGCAAAGCCAGAACACCCAAGCAAGGCCGTCTGCACCATCGAGACCGATCTGTCAGTCGACTTCGCTCCCCCAGTAGGCTACCAAGAGCCCCAAAGGAACAGCGGCACAAGCACACCGCGCAGTGGAAAGGGCGTGATGAGCGGCAAAGGCGGCACACTGCACGCTCAAGGCACCATGGCAGATGCTATCAACTACGCTGCTATCGCGCCATCATCGACGACCGCAGCCAACGGAGCCAAGGCCACTTCCTCAAATTTCCTCACCACCGGCCACAAGCTGCTCAAGAAGGGCAGCAAGGCGCCCACCCCGCAAGCGTCCACCCCCATCGCGGGACAGTCCTCAAATCCGCCCACGACAGTACGACGCACCAACGGCCCGCAGCCGCTCAGACTACCACCCAACAAACTGTTCTTCGGGTACGAGATCAAGCCACTAAAGGGCAAGGAGGAGGAAGGCGAGCAGAAGGATTCGAAGCACTTCGAAGGGTCTGGGCAGTCTCTGCGCAAGAAGAAGGGCGACAAATGAGGTAGATACCCGAGCTGGTGGTGCTGATGGGATTTGCAATTCGGATGTTCCTCGGAGCAGCATTGTGTGGCGCTGATAACGGGTGTTGGAGTAAGGAAGGACATGGCGTACGGCGTTTGATACCTACAATTCTAGTCATGTTTGGAATGAATGAAGCACATATTTCATCCATTTCTTATGATGTTCATCTCTGCGTATATAGATAGTTCGATAACTTGCAAAATAGTCCCTGCGTGTCTAATCTGCAGTTTAACATTCTCTAAGCCATGTTTGCATCCATCTTTTCCCTCATTATTCTCCCAAACATACCTCACTCTTCAAGCACATCAAACAGCACAAGCATAAACGGATGCAAGAGTATTATATCACCGACGTTTATTTTACTCGCTCAAGATAGACGATCAAGTCAAGTGCTCAGCGCATATCCATCGCCATAATAAACCTGGCAGAAGCAAGTCTGTCTCGCGTACCAAAACCCCAGTACCGTCGTTAGACCGTGCATATTCCGCAGAAAGTGTCTGATGCAGCATGCACACTCGCTTGCGAAGCGGATCCAGAACCAGTGATTTCCCCTGAACTAGAGAACGGGGGAAAGAAACAGAGATAGTGGGGTAGAGGGGGAGAGATGGAGAAAGACAGCCTAAACCATCTCATCAAGCTCCTCATCAAGAACCTCATCCTTGACACCAACGTTCTTTCCATCGCCGCCTCCTTCCTCACTACCATCTTCTTCAACCGCATCCTCAGCACTCTCCTCCTTCTTGCTCTTGGTCTTAGCCTTCTTGGCATGCGGTTTCTTGCTCGGCGTAGCCACCTCGTCCTCATCTAAGCCATCGCCCTCGACTGCATCAACACCACGTTTCTTGCCACCGGGTGTCTTGCGCGGAGTAGTAACAGGCGTCTTTGCCTTAGCGCCGCCTTCGGGCAGTGTCCAGCCGTATTCTTCGTAGAGTTTGCGTTGTTCGACGCGGAGGAGGGAGACGCGGACTTGCACGCCTTTGATGGAGGTTCCTGTGGGGTGGGGGGTTAGTTAGATTGAGGGGGTTGGATGGGGGATGGAGATGGGGAAAACTAACCAGGAAACACGCCAACGATACGCTCGTAGTCTTCGGCTGTAAGGTAGCGTCCTTGTGTCAGGATGAGGAGCTACATGGGAAGGAAGCTGTTAGTCCTGATCTACCAGTCCCGAGGTCATCAGGCATCTTGAGCGAAGGCTTACCTTCTTCTCGTTCTCCAGCGTCCAGCGGAATGCCTGAGGTGGGTGTTAGTTGGTGGTTCGATGAGTGAGTACTGGAGGTGGGGAGGAACATACGCCGCCTTCGGCTGCTGCGGTCTTCTTCTTGGGTGGCATGGTCGGTGACTTGTTGGTTGCTTTGGGGACTGGGATTGGATGTTGGTTTGGTGTGGGGTCGTGGACGGTGTAAGAGAGAGGAAGAGTGGGAGAGAGATCGAGTCGAGAGACGAGCGGGAGTAAGCGATTTATAAGTGTCTCGAGTGCGAGGTTTAGAGTCTGGCTGGTGCTCAAAGTGGAAAGAGAGGTGAGGTGAGGTGAGAGTGAGATTCTACTTGATTTCCTTTTCGAGGTGGAAGAGTCACCTTCACCTTTGCATTTTACTCACAGGGAAGAGGTCGACACGGGAGATTCGCACTAGTTATCTTTGATTTTCAGGGTAAAAGATAAATCCCGCAGATTGTGCTGAATGATTCATATACCGCCCCGGGGCCAGAATGCGCAATAATCAAGGCATCCATGCTCTAGATATCGATCCTAATGAAGTCGTATACGTAGAAACCGACTACTTCTCGCCCCAAGTTTGACGTCTCGGTATCTCAGAAGATCTACATATCCTTATCAAGAACCTCCTCTTTGACGTCCTTACTATCCTCCTCTTCGGCTTCAGCCTCAACACACGCCTCTTTCTTTGCCTTAGCCTTCCTGCCACGCGGCTTCTTCGCCTTTGGAGTCTCATCCTCCTCATCCTCCTCACCCTCAGCTTCAGTGTCCCTCTTTTTGTTCTTACGCGGTGTGGGAGTCTTCTTCAGCACTGCACCGCCGTCCGGAAGCGTCCAGCCGTACTCATCGAAGAGCTTGCGTTGCTCGACGCGGAAACGGGAGACTTTGATTTTGACGCCGTTGAGGTTTGTTCCTGCGTGGGGTTGTTAGTGGGTTGCTGTGAGTTGATGGGGTTGCTGCGATGTGTTCTGTGGGGTTCGGGAGGTGACGATCATGGATATGCGGCGGTGGGGGGTGGTGGGAAAGACGGGAGAGAGGGAGTTGAAGACATACCTGGGAAGACACTAACAAGACGCTCGTAATCTTCGCCCGTGAGATAGCGGCCTTGGGTCAAGATGAGGAGCTGGGTTCGGCTTTGTTAGTTCCAGGTTCAGTATGGGTAGGAAGGACTTGGCTTACCTTGTTTGCGTTCTCGAGTGTCCAGCGGAATGCCTGGTTGTGGACGTTAGTCAAGCTGCTGCAAAGGGATTGGGGTAGAAGAGCAACATACACCGCCTTCAGCCTCGCCGCCCTCAGCTGCTGCGACCTTCTTCTTGGGAGGCATTGTTGTTGAAGTAGTTCGTTGGTACGGGGAACTGAGGTGGGAGTGCTGGGTTTGTGTGGGTTGGTGGATGGTGTAAGAAAGTGGGAGTGTGGTAGAGGAAGAAGAGGGGAGGGGGGACAGGATATGAGGGACGTGTTTAAGTAGACGTTGAACAGTGCGGGATTGAGGATAGTGAGAGTGAGATCTGAATCTAGATCCGTACAGGATAACGGTTTTCAAGCTCACCTTCACCTTTGCACGCACACAGAGGAAAGAAAAAAGACGAGTTTGATGATGAGATTTGTTTGGCGGATTAAGTCCCGCAGCTGGTCCGAAATGCATTCGTGCTGCCAGTTTGCTAATGTTCGAGGCAGTGCCTTACTCAGATCATACCCATCACGAAGAATCAGTAGAACCCATCACACGCTCCTGCCCGTCCTCTCAAGCGCCAGAATGCCAGAATGCCTAAACATCCTCTCCAAGCAGCTCCTCCTTGACAGCCGCATCATCACCGAGCATATCATCCGCCTCGACCTCCTTCTTAACAACCTCCTTCTTGCCGTTCCTCGCACGCGGCTTCTTAGTCGGGGTCTCAGTCTCTCCCTCATCACCACCAAGCTCCTCACCCTTCTCCGCACCACCAGCAGCCCTCTTCTTCGGTGTAGTAGTCTTCGGAGTCTTAGCCGCCGCAACACCATCAGGCATATCCCAGCCCAGCTCTTCGAACCGCTTCTGTTGGTCCTTGCGCAACTTGCTGAAACGCTGGCGGATTGCGTTCCAGTTGGTTCCGGCTAAGTAAAGGGTTTGGTCAGTATACAAATCTTCGTCTTATCTAACAGCGGAGAGAGGGAGGGGGGTGGTAGTTGGGAATGAGAGTAGGGACTTACGCGGCAGAGCGTCAACGAGCTTGATGTAGTCGTCTTTGGTGGGGGCGCGACCCATGGTCAGGAGGAGGAGCTGGGGGGTTTGGTTAGTAAGGCGTGAGGATGGGGGTGGGGGTATGGGAGCTTACTGTGAGTTCGTTCTCGGGGGTCCAGCGGAATGCCTGTGGTACTGTTACGGACTGGTTGAGTGGTTGGGGGATTGGGAGGTACGCACACCGTCGCCGCCAGTGTCGGCACCGTCACCGTCGACCTTCTTCTTTGGTGGCATGTTGATTGTTGGAGACGGGTTGATCGTTGAGTGCGGTTTGAAGGTCGTGTGCTGAATACTCTGCACAGACTTTTCGACGAAAGGACGTTGGAGGATGGTGTAGAGAAAAGGATTTCAGGACAGAAGGTTGTGAGAGCAGTATCAAAGCCACTAGGCAACCAGAGGTGACGAGGAAAAGTGAGAGTGAGATACCGCGCTGCGTTGCGCTGTGCTACGGACCATCAACAAACAAGCGCGCCTTCACCGTGATTTCCAGCAGCGAAGCATCGGCGCAAGAACAGCACGACGCACGAAGGATAAGAATATCTACATTGCAGTCAAGTCAAAAACACCCCTCGTCAAAATCTCATAACATTCTTCTTATCTATCCAAACCCCAGTCCTGATATATATACATCCTTTCCCTAAACCCTCCCACCCCATCTGCCACCCCCAGCCCCTTCGACTCACATCCTCATCCCCTCAGCAATAACCTTATACTCCTTCCTCTTCTTCTGCATACCGCTCCCCCCGAACCTAACCTTCGCAACCCCAATCCACTTGCTCAACCCAGGGAACAGCATATTCTCCCCCACATACGCCGCCGCAAAATTCCCCAGCCCCAGCGCTAAGATGAAAACCTTGAACGGGGTATCCAAAAACGTCAACTCCATCGCCGACATGACCCACGCGGCGGGGTCAAACAGCATATACAGGGTAATAGCGAGGGTGACGAAGATAGTGGTGATAAAAGGCAAGTTGCGGCCCATGGGTTCGCGATACGGTTTTCCGACGCTGAGGACGACGGCGGAGAAGATGTATTGGAAACAGGATGTCAGGAACAAAGCTGTGTTTTGGCTGTTCAAGCTGTTGCTGTGGTTGGGGTCCAGGACGGGGGGCATGTACCATTCCTGTTTCTGGACGTAGTGGAAGGCTATGAATTGGACGAGGATACATAGGACCATTTGGCCCAATAGCGGCGTAAGCACCTTTCGTGATACGAGGTTGGCAGTCGGACGTTTGCGGCTGAGGATTGGGTATGCGCCGGACCAGCCCATGAAGATGGCGATGGGCAGGATGAGCAGCAGGTCGATGAAGAGGAATTGGAAGTCGCCGAGGTTACTCGCGCTGGCGTAGAGGAAGGAGACGGAGCAGAATTGTATGGCGCTGTAGAGTGACATGTATTTGAAACAGCTGAAGCTCGTGACGAGGGCGGCACGACCTTCTTTGATGACTTGCGGGACACAGGAGATGTCGAATTGGCGGGAAGTAAAGGGCGCGGCGACCGAGGCTTCGGCTTCGGAGAGGGAGATGCCCACGTCGGCTGCTTTGAGGGCACCGCAGTCATTGGCGCCGTCGCCGCAAAAGCCGACGCAGTAGTCGATTGATTGGAGCTTTTCGACGAGTTCGTGCTTTTCGTCGGGCGACATGCGGGCGAAGACTTGGCCGCAGACGAGCATTTCGCGGAGGACGGATTCGGAAGCAAAGTCGACGATCCAGCGGAAGACGTCGCCGCTGACAGCCAAGCTGTAGTTGCGGAGGTTGGAAATGTCGTAGGGGAGGGACACATCGGCCTCGGGTGGCGGTGGCAGAGGCTTGAGAGTGTTATCGTCAAGCTTGAAGACGGGGTCGTCCACACTTTCCCAGCTGAGCTTCGACAGTGCCGTGCGAGAGTCACCCTCTTCGAAGTGAGGCACAAAGCAGTGAGCAGTCTTGTTGATCAGTCCACACTCGCGAGCCACACTGATAGCAGTGAGAATGTTGTCACCAGTGCACATGACCTTGCGGATGTTGGCGCGTTCAAGCTCTTCGATGACAGGGGCGGTGCTGTCCTTGAGCTTGTTCTCGAAGATGATGAAACCAACAAAGTCCAGGTCGCTCTCTGCTTCCTCACGCTTCATCTTCTGCGTCTTGAGCCAGTTGAGCTTGGGGATGGACTTCGTAGCGCAAGCGATGACACGGAATCCACGATGAGTGTAAAAGGCTAGAAGCTCCTCGTAGTCAGTGGGGAAGCTGTCAGGTCGGCAGATCTCTTTCATGACTTCGGGGGCACCCTTGACGTATACTTGTCCGCTCTTAGAGCCGAACTGGCGGACGATGACACTGGCCCTTCGTAGCTGTGAGACGAATTCGAAAGCCTTAAGTACGCCAAGCTCGACTTGCTTCCTGTTGGCTTCGTCTTCAACATCGTCGACATCGTACTCTCGGCCTGGTGGCGGTCGGGCAACAGATGGCGAAAGCTTCTGCTCGGGGTCGTCGTCACCAGCGTTGCCAGCTTTCTGTTCTCCCTCTTCGTAGCTCCAGCCGGTAAAGTCGAACATCTTGACGTCGAGAGGGTCCCCAACCAACTCGTCATCGATCTTGCGCAGTGAGTGACAGGTTGCCATGGTGTACAGAATGGTCTTATGTGCGAGGTATTCGACGGTGGGATCGCGGTCATGCTGGGACGCAGGGAGGATGTCATAAGCATCTGGAAGCAGCTCACTGAACCTGTTCCTCGGTCGCTCGACTACGCGGACGCCAAGAACATCAAGGCCTTCCTCGGTAAGAGTTCCAGTCTTGTCAAAGCAGACGACATCCAGCTTGCCACCAACGTTGACTCGCTGTGGACTGATACAGAAGATCTGTTTCTGCTTTAAGCGCGATAAGGCGAAGCTGGTACCGATGGTGAGTGTGGCTGGGAGAGCAGGAGGAACAACGATGGTGATCAGATCGAGAGCTCGTACGACAATCAGATGCCATGCGAGGCCTAGATGCACAAAGTTGATGAATGATGCGACGAAGCCGATCATAGCAATGAACGCCATGACGGAGATGTACCGGAAAGAGTCGCGGTAGAACTTGAATCCAGATGGCTTGGGGAAGAGCATCGAGCGGACCAGTGCGCCCTTGGTGGTGTTAAAACCAGTGCGCACAACCATAGCCAATGCAGCGGCTTCGTCATCAACGTGATCTTCATGTGGTCTGCGAGCGCGGATGATCTTGGTTCCGCTGAACAGCATGTGTCGTGCAACTTCAGGATGAACAGCCGATGCACTGAGGTCTAGGAGGTCTAGAGCGTGGTTCGACATGGGGACCTTGGAAACAGGAATCGACTCGCCAGTCAGCATACTCTCATTGACGATGCAGTCTCCGGAGAGCAACAGACTGTCACATGGGAATAGCGCAAGAGAGGGGTCGGTGACTTCGTAGACATCTCCAGGTACAAGCTCTGCCGAGTCGATGTGGGTCCAGAAACCGCTGCGCAGTACGCGAACTTCGCATTCGAACTTTGACACCTCGCGCAGTCTCTTCATGGAAGCCTTTGTCTCGATGAGTGTTGTGACGATACTGACGGCCGAGATGATGAAGATGGCGCAGGCATAGTAGTAGTACTCGTCCATGGACCAAAGGATCAGACTGGCGATCTGGAAGACGTAGAAAGGATGAAAGACTTCATCGACTAGGAGCTGACCGATAGTCTTCTCGGCGATATCGATGACGTTCTTTCCGAAGACCAGCTCGCGGTAGTCGCGCTCATCGTTGTCAAGACCCTCGCGAAGGGCGGAGACTTCGGTCCATGTGGGATCGGTCCAGGTGTTTGCGAGGACGAACTTGTCCTTGATGGGGTGGTATACGAAGCGGATGTAGCGGTAGTCCAGGCACCTAAGCTCGCCGATGAGCGGGTCATCTTCCTCGTCCCATTCCCGTGGCCGTCCCTTTTCAGGGTCGCCGAACACAGTCGAAAGCGACCGGCCGTAGGTTTGCTTGCTGACATGCTGCACCGCAAACTCGCCCCACTGATTCTCTGTGACTATCCAGTCGCACTCCTTCAGTGGTGAGCTCTTTCCTGTTATCGCGACCCTCCATCTTGGTAACCATCTGAACAGGAGCCAGCCGAGACCCAGCGTCACGAAACAAAGTAGCGCATACAACGCATAGCCTATGGGGGATGTTCTGAAACCGGCGATGACAATGGTAAGGTCCTCGGTCATGATGTAGATCTTCTGGTTGGACCTGCGCCCTCTCCAGTCGATGCCTGAGCCTGCGCTGCCGGTCGAAGAGTGTCTGCGCAACAGCGGCCGCTCGGACGACTTCCTGCTGCCACTTGACTTCCGCCGCGATGGCGACGGTGAATGCGAAGTTTCCGACGATATGCCCGCCTCGAGGTCCTCCAGCTCCGACACGGTATAGCCATTGTTGTACGTGCTCTCTCCGTCCTCCAGAATCGCGCTATCCTCGTCCTCACCCTGTGAATCCTGCTCTTCATCGTAGAATGCGAAACTCGTCAAACTCGCGCTCGAATCGGCGCGCGACCGGCGGTGGCGGAATCCCGAGACGCTCGTGGGGACGCTCTCGCTCATGGGGCCGGAGAAGACCTGGATTGTGGGCGTCAGCTGCTGGCCAGGCTTCCTTCCACGGGGGTTGTAGGCAGGACGGGAAGGAGGCATGGGGCCGAGTTCGAATACCTCATCTTGCGCCATCTCGACGTCTTCCATGAAGCTTGCCCTGAGAAAGTCAATTAGTCGCGCCCAACGCTGAGCTGGCCGTCACGTACTCGCTCAAGTGGGAGCCACGGCGGTACATGGCGCTCATCCGGCGCGGCCGCCGCCTCTCGGGGCTCTCGTTGTCGGCCATGGCGACTTTCGGTGTTGTGAGTGGTGGGCTATTGGGCCATGGTGAGTTCGTGCGACACGAAGTTTTCTTGTCGCGTCGCCTTGGGCTTGCGAGATAGGCCGTGCGGTGTATGACGTTTGAGCTAGTCAGGGATCAACCTCCGTTCCTGGTGCTCTCATCCCGACTCAACATCCAACACCAGAAGCCATAAGATCGAACACACAGTATGCGAAGGATGGATTGCATCGGCACACACGGAATGCCCTGTCAGCGAATAACAAAAACGTCGCTAACTCTACTGGGAAGAACCTCGTGATTACTCCATTGAGCCGACGCCAAAATCGGTATCCGCACCATCTACTTCGTCCAGACATAAAGACGGCAGATTGCGCCTGTAGTCTGATATGCTCGGGGCGTCTTCGCAATCGATGCCGGCTGATGCTGCAAGTCGCGTCCATGATTGGATCGACCATTCCCCTCACTCAGCCTCGTAGCATGCACGCCATTTATCATCAAGCAGGTTGCAGCCTGCTCAGTTATCTCATCCACCATCATCCCTCTTCACACATTTCATCATTCTAGTCCCATCTTACCTCACTTCACGACTGGTTTATTCGGCGCAGCATGAGCATACATGTGTATCAACCACTCGAAGGCCCGGCACACATCAGGCTGATCGCACTGCACCCAGCCTCGTCCAAAGACGCACCCCTCGAAATCACCTTTCTCGCATCGACACTCGATGACCTAGAAGGAAGTTACGAAGCAATATCGTACACATGGGGACAACCACTTCTGACATTCGCTCTACACGTCGACGATGGTACCCAGATCTGCGTCACGGGAAACCTTGACCGCGCGTTGCGGTATCTGCGCTGTAACGACCGCGACCGAATCCTCTGGGCAGATGCCGCGTGCATCAACCAAAACGATAATGCGGAAAAGGCGGTGCAAATCCCTCTCATGGTCGACATCTTCCGAGGTGCTCAACGAGTCATGGCTTGGCTCGATCCGGGCGGAGACACCGCGGTCGAGCAACGAGGCATGCAAATAGTTAAGCGCCTATCCCGACCGTCAGTGATGCGACACACTATATGGGCGGAAGGGTGCAGAGAAGTCAGCTGTTTTATCAATCTTCCTTGGTTCAACAGACTCTGGATAGTACAAGAAGTTGTCTTCAGTGTGGAAGTCTGCATGATCTGTGGTGACACAGACATTGCCTTCCCTCGCTTTATTGTGGCGTTGTTCTTTATTCAGGAGGAGGCTTCCCCTTTGGAATCTGATGACAGGGCAAGAGTGGATGCTATTGCTAAGATCGGGAGACTCTGGAGCCGCCATTCACTTTTTGGTACCCAGCCAGTGAGATCACCACAGTCGAGTCTCTATGAAAGCAACAGTAACAGCGACGATATTTTAAGCTTGGTAGAGACTTTTGCGTCTTATGCATGCACAGATCCACGAGATCGTATATACGCACTCTTTAGTATGGCAGCCAACGTTCAACCAGCCGGATACATCTCCGATACTGTCGGCTCTAGCGACTCCGACAGCGATTCTGACGAAGAGCCAGCCAAGACGAAGATGGTCAAGAAGAGCGGAAAGAAGGCTGCCACACCCTCGTCCTTAAGCGATTCTAGCTCCTCCAACAGCCCTTCAACGCCGCGAAAAGAGGGTGTTGTTTCCATGAACATAGATTACTCGCTCAACGTACGTGAAACATACGAGGCGTTTGCGTTCAGTTGCTGGAAAGAAAAACAAATGCATGCAGACATGTGGACAGCTTTGTTCATGCGTCAGCACTCCTCTCGACCGGACGATTGGCCTTCTTGGGTGCCAGACTGGCGGGTTCTACCAAAGAAAACCCTTCCCATCCAGGGCGCAATTTTTATCTATGCCTTCCGAGTAATTAGTGCCACGAGAACCGGAATTTGTTTAGAGGTTGATGGGCACAGACTCCTGCTAGACAGGGATGTTGGGAGAACGATCTGGGAGGAAGAACTCTGGGATAGACGCAGTAGTAGTAGCAGGGATGGTGTGCAACCTTGTATTGTCACATCAAACATTTCAAGGCAATCTGTCGGTTCTGATCACTCCATTGAGTCACAGCTCTTTCAGCTGTGTTCAATGGCCAATGGACCGGAAACCGCGCGAAATCCCGACCCCTCTACCGATGAAAGACAGCGCCCACCCTGGATGTCGTATACCACGCGATTTCCCAACCTATTGTACAGAAAGATTAGGAAAGAGGTACTTCATTTAGATGTTGACTCCGGACTTCCCCAGGATGAACCACATGGAGATCTCTTGCAGAGACTCATTGAGTGCCTTTCGTTGGTAACGACGAGGACCACGGGACAGGATCCGCGGCACAGCCCCACGCCGACAACTTCCAGACTTCCAACCCATATCAATGACTTAGAGCGAGCCTCAAAAGATCTTCCAAATCTGTTCGTGTTTCACGACCCATGTACTCAGGTAAACTCCGTAGGCTGTGGAGATGTAGCACCTGAGGTTGGTGATTGCATTGTGCCTATGGATCATGACAATATTTTGGGTGGAACAACGAGGGTTATAATACTCCGCCGTGTCTGTTTAAAGGAAAGGTCTATCGCCGATACCCCGACCTATCGCTTTATCGGCAGCGGCCGTATATTTGACCCGACTCTGGTACTCTCGGCGTTAGGAGAAGAGTTTTCTTCTACGGTGACTTCTCGTCGATTCCGAGTTGTCCGTAATGAGTTCAATATAGTGTAGGACCTCTCTGGAGAGCATCCACCAGGTACGTCCACTCAACACCCCCCCTAAACCCCCATCTTCGCCCTAACAAACGCCTCAGTATCATCCAACACCTCCTGCACCGCCTTAATAGTCCCCGGCGGAAACCCGATAAACCCATGCGGCGCCCCCCTATAAATCTTCACCACACTCTCCGCCCCCCACATCCCCCACTTCGCCCCCATCAACACACTATCATCCAACAACGGGTCCTCACTCCCACACGTAAACAGCGCAGGCGGCAACTTCATGCCCCTTAGATCCTGCCAAAAAGGACTTATCGAGGGGTCGCGACGATCGGCTTCCGTGGTGTTGGGGAGTAAGGCGTCGATGTAGGATTTCATCACGTCGTGGTCGATTACGAGGTGTGATTCGTGGTGTAGCACGTGCGGGAGGAAGGAGGACATGTCGTAGCAGCCGAAGTGGAGGAGGAGGCCGCGGAAGGAGAATGTGGGGAGCGTTTTTAGGAGGTGGAATGCGACGAGGCAGGCGAGGTGGCCGCCGGCGGACTGGGAGGTTGTTAGTGTGGGTGTTGGGTTCGGGTATGTGTGCAAAGAGAGAAGGAAGGGGGTAGTGCAGGGAGTCAATGAAAGGAGGAAGGAGGGGGAGGGAAAGACACATACCTCACCACCCGTAAACATCAATTCCCCACCAAAAACCTCCGGACCATTCTTCACCAGCCATTCCGCAGCGTCGTAGCAGTCTTCTGCGCCCGCGGGCCAGGGGTCTTCGGGCGCGAGCCGGTATCCGATTGATACGACTGTTACTTCGAAGTGGTCGGCCATGTATTTTAGGTATGGGTCTTGGCTATTCTCCAAGTTAGTGTCAGTCTCAATACCCATGTCCATGCCCATCCCCCCTTCCCATCTCCCCATTTACCCTTCATACTCCTCCTCCTCCTCCTCTTCCTATAGTAGATAAAACAAAGAAACCAACTTACTAAGCCTCACTCATCAACACCCACCCCCCACCATGGATATGCATATGAATCCCCCTGCTCACCCCTCCACTCGGCTTAAACACCCTATACGGTATCTCCCTTCCGGCGTCTCGAGAGGGGAGAGAGCCGTTGAAACCCTCGGGTAAGACGACGGGTTTGGGTAAAGGGGTTTTACCTTCCCAGCGCATCTGGCGGTAGGCTGCTGCGCCGACCTGTGGATTCTTACGTTAGCACGGGGTTGGGGGATATAAGATTAGAGGAAGAGAGGAAGAGGGGGGAAGGGGGAAGGGGGAAGGAATGGGATAGGGAAACATACCTCATACCACCTCGGTCCATCCGCCCAGATCTTAATCAACTTCTCGTTGAACTCTAGGGTTTGTTTGTCGATGCCATTGCGATCGAACTTCGAGGCGTCGACTGTGACGTCTGACTTTGGATACATGGTTGTGGGTTATCACACTTCCTTTGTGTCCTTGCTCTTTCTTCTTAGCCAACAGGGCTAGTTGAACGTTGTGGAACGGCTTCTTCACAAACGGTATCTAGGAAATGTGTATGGAATCGGGATATGGGACATGGGATGAGTCAAACGCGTCGAAGAAGTAGGAAAGCTAATAAGACGTGCGATTACCACGTTACATCCCCCATCGGCCGTACTGCCTCGTGTTTCTCCCCTCGCACGTATCAAAGTGGGGGCGGGGTATACAACACGGCCATGCTAACTTGGAAAGGACGTTAGTCGCTCTGCTGTGGTTGGTGTACAGGCATTTATTATCTCCGAAGCAACGTTCGTACCTGCATTTTCGGGTTACTCTTTCGGAAGACTCCGGATGTCGTGCGGTTGCGACGATGGAGACAGATACCGCGTCCGGTATCGGCGGTGACCTCACAGCACGACCATGTCGAACATCGCGATAACATACTGTACAACCCAGTTTATGCACAGATAGCAAGGTGATAGGATGGGAGTGAGAATGGTATTAAAGTATTAATAGAACTGAGTAGACTACCGCACAGGTTTCGCTTGCATCCGACTCGTCGACATACCCGTATGTCCATTACTTTGCCCTCCCTTCACCCTCCGTTTCGCCTGCCGCTCATCCCGTACAAACAGCGATTTGGCTACTGAAACTGCTACCGCTGCTGTGCGGAAGGGATACATGGCGATGTCCCAAGTCATCTGCAGCATGTAGCTAATAGTACCAGCTATCCAGCTCAGCGTCATGGCAATCACGCCTGGTCGCTGACCGGTTCTAGCAGCCGCAGCAGCTAAGGCGAGTGTGTCTCCCAATCTAGCTTCCAGGTCTTGGAAGCGGGCTTCGATTTGTAGGGATTGCGCCATGTGACGTTTTTCGTAGCGCCTAACTGCGCGGTTCAGCGCGTCGAGTTGGAGTTGGGTTGTTTGGCGGACTTCGGCGCTGAGTTTCTCTACGTCGACCTCGTTGTTGTTGGCGGGCGGGGGGCCATCGAGTCGTCCCTCCAATTCCGCTATTCGTTGTGAGAGCTGCTGAGTGTCGGCTGATCGGACGGGCTCTCTTGGGGCTTCTCGGACGATGCGCTGCAGATGGAGGATTCGCTCTGTTCGCATCTTGATGAGGCGATTTACGGGGGGTATCTCGGCGATGAGGAGGAAGATGCTGAGGTTCGCGTCGGATACTATGCCTTCGGCGCGCATGAGCTGGCCTCGGATGGTGTGCATGAGGAGGGCGCCGAGGAGGGGACCTAGGAAGCAGCCGATGAAGGCCAGCATCTCCGACCGCTTTAGGGCTTCACGGGCCTCCTTCTGCGCTCGCGAGACAGGCGCATCGGCCGTGGTGTTGACCTTTGAGTCCTGCGTCTCGCCTGCTTGCTCTTCTGCCACCTCTGGCGCATCCTCTTCCTCCTCATGTATCGTGTCGTCGTAGGTCGCGTCATCCGTGTCGTCATTCAAGTATCGTCGTTGCTGTGCCTCGTGGTACCAGTCCCTGCGTCGCGTCAGCTGTGAATCTCACCTATGCTTGCTGCACTCACCATGGCACCTTGACGCTCCAATGAAGGAACCATCCCGCCAGTACCAATATCAACACGTCTGTCGCGACATCCGCGCCGTTCTCTACCGTCAACCCAATGATGGCAGGGACCACGGCAGCCACAACAGGCAGCGCAATCCATCGTGACGGCTCGTCTGGGGATGCATGTCGGCCCATGTCATTCTTCCCACCCGCTCTCAGAAGATTGTCGCTGGAGGAGCGCAGGGAATAGCGCGAGTCGGAGAGGTCGGAGACGAGGGAGCTGCGGCGTCGAGGGGCGGCTGTAGGGGGAGTAGAAGGTCGCGCACCCTCAGCGAAGGTGGTAGCGCGGTTCAGCATCCTCTGGCGAAGTTGAGGGTGGATGCTGGGACTGTCGACCGGCGCACCGTCCATGGCAAGTACCGGTTGAGACGTCGGGATTGAAGAAGCAACGTGGACGACGTCGTTGCCAATGGATGCCTAGACGCCGCTTCAAGAAGGCGCAATGTGGTAGAGATGCGAGTCACCTGATCGCGATGGGTGCAGGCGCCGCGGAAGCATTGCTGAGGCTCTGGTGACGCTCACACGTACTAACCCGACGGTCGTGTGCCGTAGTGGAAGACGCCTCGGCGGGTCGTTCGTCTTACGTCATGTCTCGATGCGGTCAATTGTAGAGCTGGGACCCTCTCCGAGCTTCTTCACACATGCGCTATGGCCTAGCTTCCCATGGTTTGCAAGCGATTCACTGCGAACACCATCTCGACACCAACAGGTATCCTGTGCGCATGCCGCATTCACGGCCATTCAGACCGTGGCAACCATGCCACACGTGTGCAGGCCTTCCTGCTGTGCAACCCAGCCTGCTCCATGACCGAGGAAACGACCAAGCACTGCAATGGCTCGCACATGCCTCATGGACTATCTACCATTCGATCAATACACAATCTCGCCACTTGTTGGTCCCCGATGCTTCATACTGGGATGCAGCCATCTGCCGTAGAGTACCCCATCGTCCCAACGCACTTGTTCGGACTCCGACAATGTAACAGATGCCCACCAAACTGGGCAGGTAAACACCGGTTCCTGGATGCTCGAAAGCGGGTGAGTAGGATAATCTGGCTAAACCCGCCACGTACAACCCGACCTGCAACCATGCCGCAGCTGCGGGGACTTAGCACCTCGTCTCCCCATGATTCCCTCTCTGATTGCGCTGCTACTTATCACAGACATGTCTCGTCCCTTTCTCGTTGGTTTTCTATTCAGAAGTCGTCTTTTTCTATTCAGACCCAAATGCGGACGGGCAAAAGTCTCACTTGCACTACCACAACCATACCACCGCAACCGAATATCACGGGTACCAGGCAGCGCCCTGTCCAGGCGACGGGTCAGCCCGTTTCAAACAGACTGTGATTGACGTGGGCGAGAGCGTCTGCCGATATGCTGTTCTAGCGGCATACTCGTTTTCACCACTCAAGTGAACGTAAGTCCTATTGAGCCTTATTGAAGCTTGAGACACGCATTTGCTCTATTGAGGATTTCCATATACTCGGTATCGACGGGAGTGATGGGGCTTTCGAGGCTGCTTGCCGCCTGTCTATCTCTTCCGTTGCTTTTCTTTCTAATCATAATCTTTTCCATATCTAAACCCATCAACACTACCTGACACTATCCTGGAGATAGCACAATCGACAGCTCGAGTTCCAATTTATCAACGGCTACATTCCTGGACTGGATTCAGATCTGCCGCTTTGCAGCATCGAAGATAACTGCCCATCTTCATTGGTTGCTCCCTCCTCTTGACATCCGCTACCATGTCAATGACATCTGCTGCTATGGCAATGACATCTACTGCTATGTCTTTGACATCTACTTCTATGGCAACCAACACACACTCCTACGAAGCTTACTGGACTGGAGATGCGGCGGGGACGTATGAATACAGCACCAACATCACCATGGAGGAGATGAACGCACCCGTCTCCACCCAGGCCATCCTCTTCATCACCCTCTCCTTTCCAGCATTCCTCCTCTGCGTTGCACCAATGATCTGGCATTTCCGTCAAGCCAACGTCGCAGCCGGGTCACTCATCTTGTGGATTGTCCTTCACAACCTCTTCAACTGCATCAACCCACTCATCTGGCCCCGCGACAACCTGACCGAATGGTGGGACGGTGCGATCCTGTGCGACATTCAGATCCGGCTCCAGGTCGGTAGCTATGTGGGATTGACCGCCTCGTTGGCCCTGGTACTACGCAAGCTCGCCAACGTTATGGATACACGCAATATTACTGTGTCGACCAGCCATAAGAGCAAAGTCAAAGCGAAGATCTGGGAAGTCTTTTGGTGTTGGGGTGTGCCGTTGTTACTGATGGGCATCTACTATGTCACCCAGTACAATCGCTACGCAATCGTCGGTATTGCTGGGTGTTGGTCTGTCCATGATGCTTCATGGCCTAGCATGGTCATTAGTTTCATGTGGTCAGCCGTTGGTATTGTGATCGATTCCTACTGGGCAGGTAAGTCTCATCTGCTTCTGTCCTCAAGTCACCCTACTAATTATGCAACAGCCCTACTTATCTGGCGTCTTTACCGATACCGACGCGAATTCCACCGCCTTGTTGCAGCGCGAAACACCACGTCCTCACGCTTCATCCGCCTCTTCCTAGTCAGCCTGATCGTCATCTCCTTCTATCTGATCTACACCATCGTACTGCTCATCCAGATGGCCGGAAGACTCCACGACCATTACTCCTGGGACAGAGTCCATGATCCCGAGAGATGGAACAGAATCACAAGAGAGCCCGGGCTGGGTAAGATCAGTATTGAGAAGTGGGTCCAGATCGCCACGGGATTCATCATCTTCGGCTTCCTCGGCACGGGAGTCGATGCAAATGCTCATTACAGAGGTTTATTGGTCTTTATGGGAGCTGGCAAGATATGGCCCAGCCTACTACCCGGATCGGCCAACAGAAGGAGACCGACTAGTTTCACCGCTCCTCGTGGTTGGACTACATACTTCTCCAGCAAAGCAAAGAAGATGTCGTGGTTCGGTGCTTCTGACTCTGCACAGTCGACATCAACGAGCGCGGATTTCAAGAACGATACCTGGACCGCGTCTACATACAATAGCCCCGTGGCTCTCGATTCGATCCCCCGCTTACACAGCGTCACAACGCAAGATACCTTGATCTCACAGAAGAACGACCAAGACATGTCTGCGCAGAAGCACGATCACTCCCATTCTCCATCAGCATCCCCAACACCTCCCCGCCCCACATTCTTCTCCCGCTACTTCACCCGCCCCTCTCTAAACGGGCCTCTCCTCCCCTTGTTCTCCTACCGCAACATCACCGAGATCAACTCCAAATCTTCCAATCCTTCCACCAACCCCACCGATCGTACCAACTCTTCCACCACCGACGCAACCACTACCGGCGATACAAACACAAATCCAACCAAACCCCCGACCCCAACCCTCCCCTCCGGCGTCCACACCCGCGCCTGGGCCGAAGACATCTCCTCCTCTCCCCCTTCCGCTGGGATGAACAATGAAGGTCATGGTCACGGGAGGAGTGTACATGTCGTACGCGAAGTGCATCAGCAGCGGGATAAGAAGCGAGGGGGTGAGTTTGAGAGGGTGGGTAGGGAGATGAGAGATTGGGCTTGATGTGTGTTTCAGGTTCGTCGGTATAACGGAGGGAGCTATGTAAGATTGGGACAGGGTAATGGGTATGGGTTTGTTGGATGGGGTTTTTGGATAGGTGGGGATGGGGTTTGTGATATTAGCTGGACTTTGTTATTCCGACTTTCGATCTTCTTGGCTTGGTGTGGGAGTAATGAGATCACATGGATTGGTAAATCCGTGGACTTGGACTTGAATGAATATATTGGTATCTTGAGTATGCGCATGGACTTGGTGATTATTGTTTATTGGTAGTCTACTGAAAGCGTGGTGACGCAATATAACGGTTGAGATGGTGGCGCAATGAACCTCAACTCTTCTGATGTTGTCCATCACCTTGGAGTATACTTATGCAAGGGTTCAAGTGAGAAGTCTAGAACCTCAGGCGTGTGGAGCGAGTCTCAGTATCGTCGGCGTGGTCTGTTTACACAGTTGTCGGTTAAGACATGGTTCGCGCACATTGAATCATATCAAGGCCATCGCATCACGTCATAGCAGGTCACATCACGCACAAAGGAAGCAATATTGTCGTGAAGCATTTTTGATTCCGTTATCGCATGTCCACATGGCGACGTGTCAGTCAAAGGCAAGCCTCCACAAGAGGTAGCGAGCCGGTGTTAGAGTGACCGTCGTAATCGTGTTCAAGTAAACTCCCAGAGAACCCCAATGTGCCATTCAGGCGATTGACCAGCATTCCATAACATTCCTCAGTCCAGCACAGTCGTCACCTCCCGAAGTAGTAGTTGAAAGCTCGCGCGCCGCAGTCCGCCGTGTGACGTAGCTTGAGGGCCGAATCGCGCGGTGGAGTAGAGTGAGTTGCGAACCGGTCAGAAGGTTGTGCGTAAAAAACGTGTCGTTCAGTGATCATTTTCGTTCAGAACTGAGGTGGGTGATGCTGAGATTGAGGGGCGAGACGTTTATTTGCTGGGGGTTTGTTAGACGCGAAGAAGCGGGCGGTGGTGATGTGGTAGAACTTACGAACGAGCCCTAGTCTTTCTTCTCTTGCGCTTGAGACGGCGAACGCGCTTCTTCCTCCATTTGGCTCTCATCTTGTCGGCGGGCTGTGGTATGAGGTCAGCGGCTGCACTTGAGAAAGTAGAGGCGCCGGCGGGTGCAAGGACACTCGAAGAGCAACCATTGCGGTCAATTGAGCGTCGCCAGCGCCGCCATGGCCTGGAATATAGAACTTACATTGCTGTCGAGATGAGTGTCGTGAGTGTAGAACAAAGGTAGGAGCTCAGCGAGTCGAAATACCTAGGTGGGTGCGGGGCTCGCTTAGCTAGAACGGCTTAGCGCCCAGCCCTGAGGCAGGCGCCAAGCGTTCATGCGCGCCGCGTCACCTGCCTTACGTCAAATCTCAGTCGCGTCATTACCAACATCATTTCAGGGCAGTGTTATCGGCGGCGGAGGAGTGTTGTACGATGGCGGGTGAAGCAGTGGCATGGCTGCAGATTAAGGTCGCGGGTGACAGTGCCTATGGTGAGTCGATGTCCTTCGATTCATGATCAACAGACTAACGCATGCAGGAACGCACGGAGGCAGGATCGAAGTGTGCGGGAATGAGCAGTTCAATCTCGGGAGGGATCCAGAGCTCTGGTTAGAGCACTGTCTTCCTCGCTGTGATATGAGCTTGTTCTAATCCTCAACACAGTCGTTACTCGTGGGCCGATGACCTCACCATTTCAAGAAAGCATCTTCGCATCCATTGCATTCTGTACGAACAAAACCCAA